ATTTTGTTCGCAATTCAATCTTTCAGGTATAATGTCATTAAGTGAGTAACACTATTACACAATGAAGTAAGCTTGGAATAATTGCTGTATTCATAATGAGATTCCATTCGGAATGCAACAAATCTGCGCTACGTCGAGATTGCATCTTCAAGAAAAACAAAATACCAGAACTATTTCACATCCTGATTTTCAGGACATTCTTCAGTACACCTGAATTTAATTACGATTTCAAACCATTTGAAAGAAAATTCGTAGTCTCGTATATGATTTTAAAAATCAATATATAATCCTTGCTTACACCCATACCTATATTTTACATTATAATAGTCTTATAGACTGAAATAGTAACTTTGTAGAAGATGAAAATTCAACCATTTTCATCCCTGGAGTAAAATTTAAATTTATCACATTTGATTTCATTAAAAACAATAGTTAAGATTTTTTTTTAATATAAAAAAAAGGTTAAATTCAGAAACCACTTCAAAAGTCTGGCTTACTAGCTTTCTTAAAAATATTGTTAGCAGTAGTGCTTTAAGTTTTTAACTCTTACTTTTCAGTTATTTAACTGAAAATGAATGAATGATATGAAGCTATTCTAAACAAAATCATACTTGATCGAACTGTTCAAGATTAAGGAAATTACTGGGCATATAAATGGATTGATGTATATTGCCGAAAAATGAAATAAGCTCCAATAAACAGAGCGTTAAAAGCCACGAGTCGATTAAGAAACAGACAAAAAAAAAAAAAAATCAATTTTCCCCAGATCAGCCAGAAATTCACAGATCAAAGCATAAGCGAAAAAATTTTAATTTAAAATTTGTGATTATTTTTTTGAAAAAAATAACTTAATGTGCTCATATAATCTTGTAACGTGTGTTCGGGGAAGGAAGCGGGAGCCGCAACACAAAGGTAATAGAACAGCTCTGTTTCAGAACTATGCAAAGAATAATGTAATAATGCCAAAAGTTAAAGTCACTAAAAAATTCTAAAATGAACTAAAAAATCACTAAACAATTCTATAGTTTTGAATATAAAATAGTCACTTGTTCATTAATGTAGTCTAAATCTACCTGATGTAAATTCGACCAAAATTGCATCGTAAACCAATAAAATAAATTCAAGCGAGTTAGCCGTAGGATGTAGTGATAAAAAAATCTCACAAAAGAAATAAATCATTTAAAAGCAGAAAACCAGTTAGCAAAATAATTTATAAAAACATTGTGATAATCAAATAAAAATTGCAAGATTCTGAAAAGTGATCAGTATAAAAATAATACTGATTATAAGTGATTAATGCAATAAAATAAATCCAAAAGTTAAATATATTTACTGCAAACCATTGAAGGAAAAAATAACAATAACTTCTGAAGCACGCGTTTTTTTAATTGTAGCAAAATAGTGAAAATTCAAAACTTTCTAATTAAAAATAGAATGAAAATTACATTTACAAATAAACGTAAATATAACTTTAATTAAATTTTGAATGAAAATGAATATAATAATAATATTTTGCCTGCGTCTTGCCGGTAAGCTTCACATATAAGCATGAACGCGAAATTGTCGATGCACGTGTAAGCGTCTGCGAAGTTACAGTTAAAGAAGCAGAAAAAGAAAATATTAAGAGAGGTTGATTCGTTTCATAACACCATCTGAGGTCTTGAAACCAAAATAGCCTATGAGTTAGTAAAAGAAGACGAAACAGAAACTTTTAAAACGGGTCATTCAAAAGCCATAATATTTAAAGGTGATGTGTAATAATATATTGCATCCCTAAAACATACTTTTATTACATTTATGTGTTTGTAAGCCTGAAATCGAATAATTTCAAACACATAAAGTTCAGTAACACTTGCTGCGTAGATTACAAATGTTTCATTCTTGTAACGAATAGATGCGACTAAGTAACCTAGAAACTCGATTAAGCTTTTTATTCATTTGAAACAAATTAAGCATTGTATCTACTTTTCAAAATATGTTCACTTATGCAAATTACAAAACAATCGACAAACAAAAACAAAAGTATGTGTTTTTATAATTTTATGAGTTTTCTTTTTGTGAAAAAGAAATGACAAAAAATATTAACTTTATAAATCTCAGTTCCTCAGTTTTCTGTAATTGGTTTAAAAACTGGACGAATTAATTCATAATTTGAGTATGGCAAAGCACACGAAGGTTTATCTGCCTAAGGGGAGGAATGCCTTCGTAGAGAACTCTGTTTCATGGGGGAATTGTGTATACACCTGGGTACCTGGGCCGAAGGCCCTACCCCTATCGAACAAAATTAAAAACTACTAATTATGTGTGCATATTAACACAAAAAAAAATTTTTAAGTTTTAAAAAACAATTGAGTTATGCGAAGAAATTTAAGTAACAAGTTACATAATAAATTTTATCACAAATAACTTTAAGGTAAATCGTTAAATTATAATAAAAGGGTAATAAAGATAAGCAAGATATTAACATTAAACTATTAATAACAAGTTAATATGAGATAAGAGTTTAAAGGTGTAGTGAACTAGAGTCGACTAATGGGGGAGGCATCTGGTGAAAGCCTTTCGAGCCGGTGTCAAATATCCTGAAAGGGAGACATACAACAATTGGAAGAATAAACAAGAACTCCTTCGGTGAAAAAGTTATACGGGGTAAAGAATAAAAAGGCGGATAAATAATGGATAAGTTCGAGCAATTTAAAATATTAAATAAACACTGGTCCTGCCAAAAGGCATAACAAGATACAAAATTTGTGCATATATGAGAGAAGATGTATACATAATATAATAAGCATGGTTACAATATATAATAATAGTGTCGTAGAAAACTTTCTAAATGAAATTGGCTCGTATTCAGGTCACACATGGGGAAAATCATGAAAACCAACCATTGGCTTGGGACCGAACCCGTGTTCAATGGTCTTACTACTCGGCTACTAGGTGAGGCGAAAGAATTAACTATGTGAAGTTCAGGACAATCGAATACGAATACCTGTCTATATCGATTCTAGCTAGTCTTTTCTTTACAATTTTTATATTAAATTAAGGGACAAAAGAAAGTGCCATTATATTTTAAAGTGAAAAAAAAAAAAAAAAAAAAGGGCATATGTCAGCGCATTCTAAAATACAACTTTATTTTGAAGTTATTTGGTATCTCTCATATATTCTTAATCAATTATCTTACATTTTTTTCAAAGATTTTTAAATTTAAACTTGAGATTTTGGTTCTCTAGGAAAGTGGTCTTCGTGGCTACTTGCTTTAGTACTATAAAATGCTAACTTAAAAGGAAACTTTAACACGATTATTTGAACATATGAATTTAAAAGAAGAAAATTAATAAAGTTTATTTGTAATAAATTTGTATGACTGACTGATAATTTCTTTTGGAAAGCACTTTCTCAACTAAATTTCATTTGTCAAACTATAAGTTTTTCTGTTTACAGACTTGAATGAAAAAAATTAAACATAACCAGTTGCACATAAATTATTTTCTTACTTTATTTCTTTAAATAACATAAAAAAAAAAAAAACTAAATTGAGAAATGTAAACTATTTATATTTTGATGTTGACTGCTTGTTAAAAGAAGACAACTTCTTTCCCTTCTTCCAAAGAAAATGGGCAGATTGAAAGTGAGCAAAATTAATTATATAATATTACAAGTATCTTTTGCGAGTTTCCAATTAAAAGAAATGGGAAGAAAGCTTCATTGTAAGTAATTTTTTATAGATATATGTCTTCATATTTTCGTAGCTTAAATATAAAATTTTTATTTCTGACAATACTGTGATCAGAAATGTGTTATTTTAAAATATATTAATTTAAAATGGTATTAAATAAAAGTTGCATAAACTAAAAATTAGCGTATGTACAAATATCAAAGAAAAGTACTGAGTTTTTTAGGAATTGGTTCACTCATATTGAGTGTAAATACCGTATTAAATTTTTACTCGTCTAAAATTCCGATATACCACTTACCACTGATGAATAAAATCTGTATGTACTTTTTCCCTTGTTGCACGTAATACCAATAATTTTAATTTTATAAAAATTTTTCGTTCATTTCTTTTATTTTAGTCTATAAATAAATCGATTCAAAAGAATTTGCTATCAGTCTTACAACAATTTAATGTTAATGATTATATTAAGCAGTTTATTCATTTCCCGATAATATGGAGTTTTGAAAGGATTCCGATGCTTTGTCTATTCGAATAAACAAGCATTTCATATCCATTATTGACAAACCATAGCAAATTATGCATAATGATTTTGTAAAACTGATCACTAATAACTTAATAATTGCATTCTGCTTAGAGTGCTTATCGAAAGTTTGCTTAAAAATCAGAAGAGAAGGAAAAATTAGCGAGTTTGTGACACAATATGCTTTGTAAACATAAGATTTATGAGCAAAACGTTCAACGTTTAGCATTTCACTACGAAGTAGCAATTAACTTTCCAGTTCAAAATATTTTGCATTTAATTCAAATACTGATTTGCATGTAGTGCATATTACTTTAACACTTTGGAGTGCAAGAATTGTAACGAGCCACTTTAATTTTTATGTAGGTCTTAGAATACTGTTTGAATAATAGGCAAGTCTTAGAATACAATTAGAATGCTACTTTAAAGAAGTCTTAAAATACTATTTAAATTACCTTTAAGCAAGTCCAAAATACTACCTTTAAATTTTACGATGCTAATTAAACAACTATATGATAATCATTCGATTCTTAACTTTTGACCTAATTACAAAAATTTCTTATGATTAATATAATTTCGCTACGTTTCAATAGCTAACAACGCTTCTCCCAAACTAACATTATGGAAATCACTGATTTCTAGAGATACTCATAACATTCTTGAAATGAGAGTTACTAGCGATAAGATGAAAAATTCACTTTCCATTCTGCAGTTATGATTTGCAGTATAATAACTCAGCTTTCTGGGTTATCGAGATTTAAATACAAGTAAACATTATTTTGAATTATTGTTATAAATGTTGCTTACCTGAATTGTTCCTATTTTCATCTCGAGGAGGGACAGGATTCCATGCGTAATGAGGGTAAATCTGTTTCACCAGTGCATGTTGTTGGTGATTGCAAAAGTTCTGTGTATGTCGCATGAAAGCCACTCGAGGCTCGAAGCCCATATTCTGAAAGTTTCGTCTGGCAAGACAAGCGTTCATATCGCTAGGAATCACGTGGAATTCTTTCTTCGGATCATCTCGGCTGAGAATGCTGGCAATAGAAAACGAATTTCGCGCCATTACTGGCGGAGGTGCTTTTATATCTTCCAATGGAGCTTTGGCATCAGAGGAATTAGATGAGCAAACAGTTTTTTCCTCACCGTTGTCAGACATAAGGATTGACATTGAACCTAGAAACACAGATCTGAAGAACAAGGACCGAAGGTTAAAAAAATTGCATAACTGAGATTTCCATATCCTGGTACAAAAAATTTTTCAATGAGTGTCAGCAAGGTTGTAAATTTCGAAGTGATTTCACGATTTATTCCTTTCCAGTTTGCTTTAAAATACTCAACGCAAGCATCCGTCCGAACTAAAACTGTTCCAAAACTCGACCGTTAGTGTTGCTCGAAGTTAGCCAGAGTGTAACAAAAATTTCAGCCCCGCCTCTTAGTACTGTTATTGTATCATTTAGCTGAGATAGGTATCTCCCTCTAGGCAACCCCCATTGGTCGATATGGGGGCCGTAAGTAACGCCCCTGCTGATCGCCAATTGGCTCGCTAGTTGCTCCGCTTATACGATGCGATAATTCCATCGCAAAAATGTTTCCCGCCTTGGCTTTTAAATCGGTTCCCAGAAGACTAATTTTACTGCGATATTTTAAAGTCATCTTTTATTTTCCCCGAGAATAGAATTAATAGGGTTATTATTAGTACGTCAGTACTTGTTGGCTGATAGGTGTTTTCTTTTGCAAAAGGTGTTCTGAGGGACATTTATAACAAAGAAAAGTTTCCCTTTTCGAAAGGGAGAAATACATTTTTATTAAAGGAAGAGAGTAGTTTTCCATATTTTATTTAAACCTATTAATACATGCATGTTTATCTTCATTTATAGAAATTTACGAATATGTCTTTTGTCGTACTCAGTTAAATTATTTCCGCACTGCTGCATGAACCATTAAAATACCCCCCAATTGACTTTTTATATGGGCTAATTATTGCTTATATACTAATGTTGTGAATTATTAATTTTTAAGATGAGGTGCATAAAATGGCTGTCATATCAAATTACTTGGTAACATTCCCGTATGAATGATATCTAATAGATTTCCTTAATTTATTGCTTTGCTTTAATTAAAAAGGGTTTGACAGAAATTATCCTAATTTTGAAAGACTGAGGAGATGACAAAATTTTCAAATGACATTTAAATTGTTATTTAATTTTGTTATCTCTAATAGACTATGAAAGAGGCTCCAGAAGACATTTATTCAATTTCAAAGTAGCCCATATATCCAGAACTTTGACAGAATAATCACGTATGCGAAAACAATGATTTTTTTAGTTATTATTAGTAGAACTCGGCAAAAAAAAACTTTTCAATAGAGAAAATTACGTAGATAAAGATAATCCTTTTTGACAGTCATTAAAAATTTCTGTCTTTATTGATGAGTCAAGGCTGTATAAATTTTGCTTGAGAAAGCATTTTCGTTCCCCATCAGGGAAAAAAAAAAAAAAAAAAAAAAAAATTGCTTTTGCTTTTCAGTTAGAAAAATGGGCAAATTTCTAATGACTTTGGACAATCACAAATTAAAATGGCTTTGTAGTCTCATGTACTTTATTTCAAAATAAGACTAATGAAAAGATTGAGAATGCAGTCAAAAAAATAACTGAACACGTAATTAAAATACAATAATTAAACATTTAGACAACTGAACATGTGGTACTCAAGAGTGATGAATTTCGCCAAACACTTTCTTCCGAATTTCATAATCTTTGAAAGGGCTACATTATTAATTAAAGCACACGAGGTCTATCCACCTACAGTTTCACCCGTGAGTTTTAACACAGGACACAGAGTGAGGGGAAAATCTTAAATGTCTCGTGCAGCCTTTTTCCTGGAATCAGGCTTAGGAGCGACCGAGTTTTAAAAGCGTTGAGCACCGGTAGTTCGAATTGGGTTCAAATACTAGCGAAAGGACGGGCTGCGTGAGAGCTCTCGTGGTTTTTTCCATATGTAATATGAATACGGTGAAGAAAATTAGTTTTTTTCCCTGAATGTAAGAAAATGATATTTATGAATAGAAGTAGTGTTTTGCAAAGGAAAATGTGAGAATATTTTAGTCGCAAGGAAAATGATAAAATGATTGCAATCGTGAGATTCTTTTAACTTTTGAAATATTTCTGTCACTGTGCTTTGGGAAGGGGTTGGGAAATACTAGACCTGATAAATACAACAAACCTGATTATTGCAAAAGTTCGTACATTGAATTTGCCGAATGTTGTAATTGTTAGAAGCAACCCTCCCCCCCCCCAATAATAGAACTCATTGCAACAATCGCCAGAAGAATATAAAGATGCACTGTCTGCTTAATTGGAGCTTTTCTGCCGTTATCTCCAGAATTCCTAACGGTGCCTGTTCCTAACAATTGAGTGTGCTTGAAAAATTTCAGAGTGTAAGGTGACCTGAAAGGTAAGGTGACCTTTATTATCTTGTCCTTAGGATTAGTTATGCTGTTGTCAGTAAGTGTTTCGTAAATTTATTTTCATGATTTAATTTACTATTTCTAAAATTAACGAACTTTGTTTTCACACTCGAGATGAATAGGTTTCTTTCATACTTAAATCTAGAACTGTTTGCTTTCACAGCTTGTGATATTCTTTACAAATACAAAAGGGTTCAGCTGTTAATAATTTAGTAACGTATTTAAATGTACTTATATCACTAATAATATTTCGGTTAATGAGAGAATTTAGCGACAGATGATTTCATTGATTGAAATCGTTGTTACCAGCTGGATAAATAACAAACGGCACGTTAAAGCTTAAATTAAGGAAGAAGGGAAGGGCCTCCTAGATATAAAGCCGTCGGACTGGTCTGTGACGTCACGAGCACTAGGCCGTATAATATGAAACGGCGGAACTTCCGATAGCGATTTCTCCGTGCATACGAGTATGAATTTGCGTTAAATAATGAACTCTCAGAATAATCCAGAAACTATATTTCCGCAATAAAAAATTTATTTTACTATCGGAATATCTTTGAACATTACAATGCAAGAGCAATAAAACTCATTAAAGATGCATTAAAATTTCATATGTAATGTAATAAGATTTGATACTTAGTCCAGCAAAACTTGATCTTGAATATCGAATTTGGCTTTATAAAACGATTAGTAGATGCTGAATTTTCAAATCATTCAATTAAAAATTAGTTCTGAAAACCAAAACTCCTCAATATCTTAAAAATTTCTGATATGTTGTTTTTATCTCATCTATAGACATAATATCATGTTTTCATAAAATCATATTCCTTGAAAATCAGAATTTAAAATTTCATCAAGGAAAATTTACATTTATTAGTCTTAAATATACTCTCAAATGTGTGGAAATTATAACATATATATATATATATATATATGATATAATTAAATACTCTGGCTATGTTAAGAAAGGATTGGTGGACAGACTTCTTGATTTTCAAGTAGAGGATCATAAGGCAATTTTCCATACATTAAATAAGATTGCGGGAATTTTGCAACACAATGAGGTGTATTATTACATTATTCAGTAACTTGAGGTAACAATTTTGTCCATGCAATATTAGCCTGATAAGAATTTAATTTACAGTTTAATTATATTTGTTTGAGTAACTCGTTCAACTTTACCATTAGTTTGAGGCCCGTTAGTAGTTAATAATTGTTTTACATTATGATTTCTTAAAAAGTGCTTAAATTTGGAAGAAGCAGCATTTCTATCACTTAAAATTTTCTTTGGTACTTGAATTTGAAAAATTTGTCTTAAACTATTTATGTAACTATCTGTAGTTACACTTTTAGAAGCAAAAAAATCCATATTTAATGAGTAGCATGATCAATAATTAAGTGAATATACATTTTAATATAATTATAATAGTTTAAACCACCAACAGTATCAATAGATAATAATTCAAAAGGTTCACATTAAACCAAATCTCTTTTGTTTACTTTTCTTATTAAACTGACATACTTCGCAATGTTTACAAAAAATTTTAGCATCTTGGACAGACAATTCCTGACCAATAATATTGACAAGATTAATATGAGCCTTTTAAAGTAATTTAGTACAAAGAGAGATTGCTATTATGATTTTGTATAATCCTTGCTTTTTAATAGTTAACACATCATTAATTTCTTTATACTTAGGATTATATACATTATCTAAATTTTGATGCTCTTTAATTTCTTCTAATGAGAATAAATTAACTTCCAAACTTAAATGTTGACAAATAGGATTTCTAGTTAACATATCAGCTTCAATATTAGTAGAACTATTTTCATATTTTATATATCAAAATCATGCATAGATAATTTTAAAGACCATCTAAAAATAACCTACCTGTAAGATCTTTAATGTTCTTAAGCCAAACTAAAGCAGCGTGATCAGTGTGTACAGTAAAATAATTACTGAGTAAGTATTAATAAAATTTATCTGCATCACCAATACAAAACATTCTAATTCAGTAATTGCATAATTTTGCTCATAAGACCTTAATTTTCTAGAATGAAAACCAATTTGGATGTAGGTTCCCATCCTGGTGCTTCCAACAGCTTCTTCAGATGCATCTACAAACACATAATTACATATGTAAGATATAATAAAATATGATGGCTATGTTAAGAAATAATTGGCGACCTTAAAATTGACTATCCTAAATTTTATTTTCTCCCCCCTCCCCAAAGTTCATCTGTTCTCCCAAATTCAAGATCTTTCCAAATTATTCAATTATATTTCCGAATTTCTGGGTTTACGCATCCATATTTCTAACCCTGTGATTAAAATATCATGCATGTAAATATATACACATAGTACCTACTAAGTTTTCTCATCGTACAAACTTCTAATATATCACATATATATAATAATATACAAAGATTACTTAAAAGTAACATCCAAGCATACAGTTTATATTTTAAATGAAAAATATTTTGATGTGAAAAACATTAACATAAATCTAAATTAATTGCTGGTATGTAATGGACAACTATTGCTGTTACCTATATAAAATAATACAGTACAACAAATGAAGTCTTTAAAATTATTTATTTATATAACATATTTAAATACAATTCCATAATTTTTAATATTTTAATACAGAAACAAGAAATTAAATTACAAAAATAATAAAATTACACATATATTTACTAATGCATGTTTAGAGAGCAATTAAAATTAAAAAAGTGAAATGCACTAAAATTATTTTCAGGCCAAAAAATTATATTGGTACATTTCTAATATATTCTTTGTTTGTTATGCTTACATAGCAAGTGTTTTTAGTTTTCTTTTATCTGAATATTTAGAAAAGCTATCATTTTTGAATTTACAATAATTGTTTAAAAGAGTGCATGAGTATATAAGCAGTTGCATAATTTTACGTGACAAATGGTTTTTACAGGAAATAATTTTAATTTCCTTACACATAAGAATTTCTAATGTCATAGTGGATATTAAATTACGTTGGTTACATACTTGGAGGAAACTATTTTCATATTCAGGGCTTATGAGCTTCTGTATGACAATAAAATTATGCAGTATTACATTAATGACATCAGCAGATGGGTACTTTAACCCACCTCTATCACAATTATGAATATGTTTGAAATTGGGAGGAATTATTAGTGGTTTTTCAATAACTAAATTACCTCCACAGTCATCACATTTTAGCCTATTCATAACTGAGTGGCAACAATATCCAGCCAAGTATGCAATTAAAGGTAATTTATCAACCATAGTTTCAAGATCATTATCTGTGACATTAATATGCTTGAAATTATGAAAATATATTTTACAATAGATTCATGGGAACTATCATTAATCAAATCAAAAGAGTTAGAAAAATCATCGATAACAATTGTCCCTTTACTTTTCGATATCATAGTTAGATTTAATACAGAACATGCACGTAGTTTGTTTTTCTTCTACTTCAAAAACCTGTCGAAGTGATATATGATAATTTGTTCCAGCCATCCTGCGATATAAACTAAAACGATGTTCCAATTCATCTGTCTGAATTTTACCGGGCAAAAAATACGACATGTTGAGTTCACCTAGACAATACCTACACATTTCTATCATACACGTTGTTGTTAATATAAGAGCAGAAAGTGTCTCTTTTGTCAACCTACCCGTATCACTCTTCATTTCTTTCCATTTCATCAACCAATCAAGAAAATTATTTAAAAATACAAACTTCTTGTCTGATTCATTCCATACTAATGGGTTTACAGAAGTCATCACAAGAATGTACCCCCTTGTTTGGTGTTTTAACATTCATTATTGAAAACCACGACGAAAATATTTTAATATATGCAGATGTTTCGTGAAAATTTAACAAATTATGCTTTACTCCTAATTCTTTCAGGCCTTGTGATGTTTGATCGTTGAAAATTTGTAAAGCCAGTTTCACACTTTGACGTTCTAAATTTGTAGGCCACAGAGCTTTACGAGATATTGTATATCCATATTTTAACAAATTACCACTTTCAGCTTCATACATATTTTTTTAAAGTAAGAAATGAAGAGGTACATACATTATTTGGTTTAACCAGTTGTTACGAACACTTTTAATAATATGAACAGAATCAACTGCATAAAACAATGGACGAGTTGCATCAACAGGATGAGGAAATACAAAATTTGATAATGGATTATTAAACAGAGATATACATCTTCTATTAATGGAATTATTGTCACTACTAACAACAACAATTACTTTGAAACCTATTGCTTCAAGACCAACAATTATTTTTTTCAAAACAGTGAACAAAACTTCAGCTGTCATTTTCTTCGATGGTAATATATGGACAACATCTTTAAAGCAGCACAAAATACTCTGTATCATAAATACATGTGCACTAGAAGCTAAGTTATCAACTTCCTGGCCAATTCCAACAATATCTCCACTTTTGTAGTCAAGAAAAGGTCTGATGTGAATTTCATCCATCATTAATGAAACATATAATTCATGCTCTTTCAGATAGCAAGCTTTTTGCTTAGCATATGCCAAAAACAACATATCATCTGTTTCCTTTTGGGGATTTACATTTAATTTAGAACTTATTTTATGTATAGTACTTGGATGAGGCAAAATTAAATTACCAGATTGTCGGACAAATTTATATGCTTGGGGCGATAACAAATAAAACATAGAAGCTAAAATTAAGGTATTGGATGAATATTGACGATTTTGGGGCTTACATTTTACAGAGAAAGTTGTTCAATCATGAACTCAAATAAAATTTTATCACCTTCATTTGTGAAACTTAAAGATTTCATCAGGTTGATTATAATTTCAATCGAATTCATTAAGTCTTTAGTTTCTAACATTTCAATATGATCAAGTATTTCATGAATTTCATTAATATTACTTACTTTTATAGGTAACTCATTATACTTACTACTGATATGAGTCAATAAATAACTTATTTTGAAACGATACAGATAATAAAAGATCTGCAGTAATGTGGACTGCATAAAGCAATTTTACACATCCATCAGTGCATTTTAAATTCAAAAACATCAAGATATTGTCTTTGTGCACAACGTTCCAAAATGTAGAAAATTTATATTGCATACAACAGGTTAAAAGTTCATTAAAGTCTGAAAATGTCCTCGATTTATAATACTCAGCAGCTGATAATTTACTATGAGCAATAGCTTTCATCATGAGGTTTGCTTCTCGTTCCATTTTTTTCTCATTCGGACTTTTTCTCGAACTACCAGCTTGTGAAGATAAATACGATGGACAGCCATCAAATATGCTAGGAAAAGCGCCTTCTTTTAGTTTTGGTCTCTGCAGTGAAGCTTTAATGATTTTCCCATTTTTTTCATCGAAAGCTGATGTTTCCCAGATGAGGTCATCAGGTTGAAAATGTTTATGGCACACCTATTAAGTAAAAGGAAGACATCATGTAACTAACTTCTTAAAACAACACCAACTGTAAAGCAAGATTGAATCACTTTCCTTATAAATAAAAACATTCAAGCTTTGGCAATGCTTTGGGCAGGTTAAATTTTAAATGCATATATGCAAATTAAAATTTTTTTCAAATATTTAAGGATCAGTTAACACTACATATAAAAAATCTGATCATGACAGCATACGACCTCCCGCCTATTCTATGGCTTATACAGCAACGAGCTTCGAAGTATCATTAGCCCTTGATTGTTTGTAAATTAAATGTAATTTGTTGATTCATCAAATAGAAAACTATACACTGAAACCTATTTATACATGTTGGCGGGAGGTAAAAATTATAGCTTGCAGAAAGTTTCCATAGCAGACTAAGAATATTCTACCAACAATTTATTGAATCTTAATAAATTAATTAGGATTACACCTACCCGAGAATATGGAGTTGCTGAGAAGTCCTTCCTAGGTATATTTTCTTAGCCACCTCTCTCTAAGAGCATCATTTTTGGGAAAGGAAAATGTATGCACCTTTTCAGTACCTTTATAATTTCCCCGACAACCAGTTACACAGCATTTAAATGGCATATTTTTCTGTAAAAACAGTACAAAAATCAGTTATATAAATACTAAATGTTATAACAATTTAAATTTGCATAATTATACATTGAAATTCGATACACCATAAACCAACGGTGGAGAATTTCAAATGTCATTCAAACATTTGAATGAATGAGACTTCAAGAAATTCGTATCTGAAGAACACCTAAGCTTCTATTAAGATATCTATTATTATACTGAAATTATTACTTGCATCAATGATGATAATTTTGATATTTAAAACATGCTGAAACAGTCAAATGAAAATAATATCAAACTTCAGGCGAATCATGTTTAGAATATTTAGAATTGAACAGTAAAATATATACGTGAAATCTGAAGAAAGACTTTGTTTGGTAAACTAAACACTATTTATGGAATGTTAAGATGAATTTACTGCTTTAATATTTAAATACATTGTATGCAAATACACAGTATAAATTTAGAAACCACATAAAATACATCTTTCAATAGTGATAAGTTAATACATAATTAAACTCACAATAAAACAAACGTTTTTACTAGACTGTTCTTTCAAATACTGAACGCTTTGATCACATAACTTTAAAAGTTTGCCATTCTCACTTATACTTACACTCATTATACAATGCACTCACATATTAGCTATACATATTAGCTATTATATTTATTCTACACACTCACATATTAGCGTACATACGTTTGTTAACTGATATACGTAATTATTAATTTAACTAGATTTATTGTATAGGTTTACTTTCAATTACATTTTTAAAAACTGTTAAGCTTTATATATTGAAATGATTAGGTTAAAAATTCGTAAAACAGTAATGAAATAATAAAAAAAAACTTTTATAAAAGAAAATACGTAACATTAGATACTGCACACATAAAATTAAAACTTCGGTGATGCACTTAAACAAAATATTTAAGTAAATTCAGAAATAAGATTAATAATAATAATAATGGCTAATCAATACGGAGATAAACATAATAAGTATACGTGTGTTACTAATAATTAAGCAATTAATACTTAATTTAATTCAACATTAGTAATAGCAAGCGTTTATTTCAATGAACAAAATATAAAGTTACATTTCAATAAATACGAACTTACCAAGTATTTCTTCTCCCCGACAGCACGTGCTAACATTCCAGTCTATGTACACCGCAAAGCAATGGCTTCCCAATTGAGAATCCAAACCTCGAGAACATCACGTGGGCCTACTAACTTTGACGTCACACTTGTTTCTACAACCTGTCCATTGGCTTTATAATCTAGGAGGCACTGGCCAAGGTTAGTAGATAAATGGGGTTGAGCTCTTCCCAATGTTGACATCACTTATTTTCAAAAGTGGGAGAAAATGCCACAAAGGGATTAGCTGTTTTTCACCAGACAAGGGATTAGCTCTTTTTCACCAGACAAGGAATCAGTGATGACACGTAAAAATAAACCTTGTAGTACAGTAACCTTGAAAGGCACCACAAAAAAGATTTTAGGGACTTAAGGAGAGGGAGCACAGCAAAAATTTCCAATTTTCTGTTTTTAGCAGTACCCAAGTTTTAGCATAGATTCTGTGGTGCAGCTAACCTAAATTTGCTCTGGTTTGATTGATTATGACTGAAGAATAAAATGACATCTTCCATATACATGGCAGACATTTATTTAAGCTATGAAGACGTTGAACAACAGAGTAGAAACATATTACACAGCGCTAAGCACTTCTCGCTTACATGCGATACTCACCATTGACGTTAGCTAACTACACAGAAAAGTATTACGCAGAGAACTTGCTTATCATGCGCATGCGCTAGGGGAATCAACGGCCCCCCGGTTGCCAACATACCCACTTTCGCCGTTGATTCACCTATTCCCGAAAAGTAAAACAAATTACATATTAAACAGTATTCAATCCTACAATTGGTACAACAGTTTTGATGTTTAACAGGAGTCAGGGATTTGGGTAACATATCAGCTCCCATTTCACTGGTAGGTTTGTGCTGCACATCCAATTCACTGTGTTCATATACTTCACGCACAAAATGATGGCGAATGTCTATGTGCTTTGTACGGGAGTGAAACACCGAGTTCTTCGTAATTTTCTGAGCTCCTTGATTGCCGCAGTATACTGTTGTTGGGTTTTTCTATGTTGTAACCCAGCTCTTTCAGGAAACGAAGTAGGTAGACTGTTTCTTTGGCAGCCTCAGACAGAGCCATATATTCCGCCTCAGTTGAAGATAGAGCTACACTGTGTTGTTTCCGCGATTCCCAGGTTATGGCTGAACCACTTAATAGATATACAAAACCTATGTAGCATTTTCAATCATCGACATTTGATGGCCAATTTGCATCCACAAAGGCGATGAGTGGTTTTCCTGTTTCATAGATTTTAATTTTCGTATAAATTAGTTTTTGATCTTGGGTTCCCTTTAGATATCGAAGTATTCTTTTCGCAGCATGCCAGTGCTCTTTTCCGGGATTGTTGTTAAATTGACTTGAGAAATTCACGGCGTATGTGATATCTGGCCTAGCAGCTACTGAAAGGTACATTAGTGATCCGATCAGATTTCTAAATGGAACATTTTTCATGTCAGCGATTTCGTTTTTAGGACTCATCCCTTTTGATAAATTTTTGCTATTATCTATAGGTGAAGAAACGGATTTTGCATATTATACCGATTTAAAATATCATCAACGTATTTCTTTTGAGAAATTTTAATTGAATTCTCATTTTGGTAAAATTCTATGCCTAAGTAATAATGTAATTTCCCCAAATCTTTCATTTTGAAAGCAGAAGCTAAACTATCACGAATTGTTTCATACGTTTGCTTAGAATCGATAAAAACGATAAGATCGTCTACATAAACGATTATAATAGTTTCACTGTTAGACTTTTCTTAATATAAACACAATTATCTGAATTAAGAGATTTAAATTTCATAGATTTTAATTTTTCATCCAACCTTTTGTACCACTAACATTCTGACTGTTTAAGACCTTATAATGATCTCTTTAAACGACACACTTTATCTGAATTAGTTTCCTCGCGAAAACATTCGATAATTTCCATGTACATAGGTCATTACAAAGTCTAATTGGTAACTTTTGAGACTGTTTTCTACAGCGTAGGATAAAACAGTTCTTATGGAACTTAATCTAGCAACAGGGGAAACGTTTTCAGTGAAATCAAGACCAGGGATTTGAACACACCCTTCAGCGACTAGCCCAGCTTTGTATTTTTCGATACTGCCATCGTGATTATATTTTAATTTAAGAACCCATTTACTACCAATAACTGTCTTGTTTTCAGGTCTTTTTACTAATTTCGAAGCCTTTTCTTGAATAAGCGAGTTATATTCTGACAGCATGGCATTATGCCAATTTTCAGCATATGGTCCATTTAATGCTTCTTGCACCGTAGGATACTAGTTAAATGTACTTATATCACTAATAGTATATAAGTACTATTGCTATCCTCAACAACATTTTGAATTTGTTCATTTTTATTTACAACTGTATAGTGATATTCCTTTTTAGGCCTTCCTGGCAAACCTGCTTTTATTTTCTTGGGTAGACCAGGCCCCATTTAATCAGGATAGGATGCATTGATTCGCTATCTAAATAATTTGCGCTTTCCTTTTTAGAGTCAAGTGGCGAC